GTGAACACTTATTTTATTTCATATATCTACCTATGAGCACCCTTCATACCGATTGCCGAAAACATAATATGTGAAAATATGATTACTATTTTGTAAAAATATGTTATATTATTTATTAACTGATTATTCAATAACATACAAAAAAGAAAGAATTATTTGTTATTCTTATTCATTTATTTTTTGTCAAACAAAAATTGTTATTCATTTTACATTATTTGGCCTATAATAACTTCAAGAATAAACTTTATTATTATTCTAGGTTATTTTATAAAGCACTTAGTCCTTTTTACAAACCTACACTTTATGCAATTAATTGTTTATTTATTTATTGTTTTTATTTTTCAAAGGTTCATAGAACAAGCGCCTCAAAGCACAAATACATAGAATGGTATATCCGTTGTCGCAGTTAAATGCACATGCATTTACTGACTTAAATAGGGATAGGCGCAGCGGAACGTACATACATCAATTGAGGGTTTAGTGATGGGCAGGCATTCTTTTAATTAAATGATAAATCCTTTGAAATTCATTTAAACAGGGTTTAATTTAAAGGTTTCTAAATTGATCTAATTTATATGAAAAAATCATTAAATTAAATTACAATGGATTCTTAGGTGAAATAGTCGAAATAACTAATAACAATTTACGTACAAATGAATTATTTATACCCGCGTACATGTATGTATGTATGTATGTATGTATGTATGTATGTATGTATGTATGTATGTATGTATGTATGTGTGTATGTATGTGTATATATACATGTATGTATGTATGTATGTATGTATGTATGTATGTATGTATGTATGTATGTATGTATATATGTATATATATATAAATATATATATATATATATATATATATATATATATATATATATATATATATATATATATATATATATATATATATATATATATATATATATATATATATATATATATATATATATATATATATATATATATATAGGTCCGCACAGAGACTTTGAGACTTTGTGGTACCCAGGGTCAATTTTTGTTCGGTGCTCCAACCTTTGGATTCCCGGGGGTATATTGAATTAACCATGAATTTCACTGTTTATCGTCCGTATGTCTACTATCACATTACAATTTAATGAAAACATTAATTATTTTTGTATTAACTATCGCTGCACATAAAAACTCTATATTTGAACTTGGTTGTATATGATAAAACGAGAATACAAATACAATTTAAAATGAACGAAATTACACATTTCATCAATAAAATGTTAATTATAAAGACTAGTCAGATCACACTAATTTAACTTTGCGGGCTTTCTTCATATTTGTCGTTTTTTGAATTGTATCCATTCTGTATCTTATCTGCTGGAGCAGCGTTTCAAGAGCAAAATTAAATGCGTTCACCTCAAGACCCTTTGATTCGTCTTCGTAGAAGTGGACTATGTTCATCAACTCGCCGTGAAGTGTTTTCTTTTCCTTGTGCTTTTCCTAACATAATCCTATGGGATGACATACTTCAAGTCTTGTAAATGTTTCCATTTAGTGTATGGAAGCGGAATCCTTTCCTTAATTAGTTGTATAGGTGACTCATCTTTTTTAACTTTGATTGGTCTTCTAAGCAAATCCACAAAACTTCAATCAAAAGATAATTTGTATTAAATCGTTCCTGTGGATAGGTACTGGAATCAGGGAACATCAACGACACATGGGTCATCCTTTTTCTTCCTGGACGAACTGAGTCGGAACAACTTATATTAGAGAAATCCTTAAAAAAGTCAATTTCAAGTATGCAGCCTCATAAGAGAAGGGAGTTTGCAGGCCTTCTTGGTATTTTTTACATACTCAAATGGTAGATACACATCCTTTTCCCTTGATTTGTTTTTCAATCCTCGCATGTACTGAATCTCCCTCCATTTGCGTATGCCCATTCACTAGGTATTTCTGAGTTACATTAATATTATTTTGGACGGCAAAGTGAAGAAGGGCATTTGATACAAATTGGTTACGATTTTGATTTGTACAACCATCTGTGTACACTGCAATGGGGCGGCAAGGAGATAGACAATGTTCCTTCAAACAATCAACCAAACAGAAGGCAAATGTGTTGGCCGATAAATCCACCTCTACTTCTGAAAACCAGTAACATTTGCAATGTCTATTAGCTAAGTTATAAACAGTGTAATTATGTGAACATAGCTTCGTCCTATAATACATGGCACTGGCCTTTGTCACAGGGGTTAACTTAACAGATTCCATGTCTGCCGTCAAGCAATATATTTCACCATCAACTGCCTTCTGTTTGTCACGTTCTTTTTCAGCTCGAGCCTTTTTTTTCTCAGTAATATGCTGATCGTAGTCTTCCTTAGAAACATTGCCTGCTTTGATATTCAATACCTAGGCCATCTTCAAATATCACTTCTGCTTCATTTATCAATAGTCCAAAAGCTTGATTTCCTGTATCATCATTACTGTTCAAAGTATTTGTTCTTCCAAGTTAGTTCGTAGTCCGCTTAGTTCCTGAAAAAAATTTTAATTTTATTATAAATTTTAAAATCAATTTATACTAGACTAGCTGAAATAGCACGCAAAATATGGATAACTTATGAGAGAAATTTATTAATCTTTTGTGGCCTAGCCAAAAGTTCAAAACTATTTCTTGTTATTATACCTTTCAAATATTGTAAAAGACTAAGCTTGAGCTAGTATTGTCAAATAGTCATACTTTATACAGGAGTAGGCCTAGGCCTATCACTTTATGGAGTAGGTCTATAGAATTTTGAATTTAAGTTTTATTATAAAAGCTACTTACGTACTGTTTCTTCTTTTTGTAGCAAACTGATCACGTCATCAATGAAATCACTATCTTCACTATTTAGTTCATCCATGATTCAACTGCTAGGTAGCAGATATTAATATAACAACACATATCTTGGAAATGCAAGAATCCAAACTAAACTGTAACAACACGTGAACGTTTATTTTACCAGCAATTTTTCTATAGTAAACAACAAGTCTAGTTTAAGTGAATACTTCCAAACTATTAATTATACTTCTAAGCTAGTAATCAATTAACTTAACTGCATTACAGTTAAAAAAAATAATAATTACCTGAAATGAACCAGCTGGTTAATATTGTCACATGTTTTCAATGTAAACAATTCATGATACGTGGTGTTAGAATTCAGTTCTGCCAACTAACAAGATACAGGAAACAAATTTACCTAATTTAAACCTTTTTCCCGGTATTATTTAACATAAGTTTTGTTAGAATCAGGTGTAGAATTGACCATAGTTTCATATTCACTACTTAACTCAAAACAGCCAAATTTTGAGATACGTGGTGTTGCAGTTTAGCCGTCGATATAAAGTTTTTCCTACTTTTCCATCTTTATATAACAAAAAATTGAAAACATTTTTTCTCAACGGACAGCATGGGTATCGTGATCACGCAATCACGAGCAAGCATCCCCTTGTTGTTATTATTCTTCCGAACTGAAAGAAAACCAGAAAATATACTAAAATGGAGTGCCGTTCTCCTAAAAGAATAATAGATGATTTTTAATGAGAATTTTAATTAAGATATTGTTTGCGTTCAGTACATACCTGCAGCAGTCTATTTAAAATGAAGTATATATACAATATTTACTTATTAAAATACAATGATATAAATTAGTGAAGTTGTATTAAGAAGTTATATATGAGAGCTGATTTAGTTGAAGGATAGTATGCTACTACGCCGTTGTAACGATAGAGGAATTTCTCATTTCACACTAAAATTAACTTTTTAATTATATTGCAATAAAATATTCAGGAATGAAAAGGAGAATACGAGCTAAGCAAGGTTTTGAAAACTTATGATTTATTTATACAGATGTGTTGGATAAGTTACCATTTAAAAGTAATTACACCAATATATTCCATTGTGTAATTTATATTATTACCCCGAGTATACATGATCAATTTTATTTTTTTAAATTCTCAAATACTATGTTTTTATTCATGAAAATTATTTTTCTAAAATTAGAATTTTATTTAAAAAACTAACAATTTGTTATTACAATAATGTTTAGTAATGAATAATATGTTAAACAATAAACGCTTTATAGTTACGTATTAAGCACAATTTGTTATTGTGCTTAATATGCAACCATAAAACATTTCTTTTAAAATCATTTACACAAAGTTTATACAAATTTATGATGACATTTTTTATTGAAGAAATAATTCCTCTATGCGTGATATCTATTTGTCCATTGGACTAGGTATTTCTTGATTGATAATAACTCTCCTAGCAATTCCATAGCGTAACAAAAATCATACGATTGGTTATTTTACACATTTCAGTCAAATTATTTTTAATTTTGAGGATTTTTTTTTAATTTTAGAAAGCAGTCTAAACTTTTTAATGGTTTGCCCCACCTTATTTTTCTCTAAAATTGCTCAATTGTAAAAGATTTTAATAATAGTTTTATATTAGGTAATATAGCTTAAAAAATAGTCTATTTACTACATCAACTTTTTAAATTTTAAACAAATATGTTTATAGAGTAACATACTGCATAAACATAGTATATAACCAGAAGTAAACAAATCTTTTTCTAATTTGTTTTCACTGCCAGAATCTTAAAACACATATATTGTGTTTATCAATTTTGAAGGAGTTTTTTAAAAAGATTTAAAAAATAACACAAATTGCAAAATCTAATGTTTTTAAATAAAACAAACGGGTTCATAAAATTCACTAAACATTAGGAGGAGGAAAAAGGGTATAAAGATATTTTATATCCTTATTTAGTTACCTAATGTAAAGTTTTCTACACCAAATAAAGGCTTAATATTTTAATTATCTTGTTTTGTATATTACACCCTGATGCTTAATTTATATAATTGCATTAATCAATTATAATCTGTATTCAATATAATTCAAAAACATAAAATTTTCAAAGTAATGTCATGTAATAAATCTTTGTAATATATAAATATAAATCATGTAATATATCTCCTTTTTTTCCCCAGAAGTCAAAAGGCAGTCACCAATTGGAAATAAAGATGGATTGTCTCGAATTCCACGATTTAATCGTCGTGGATCTGAAAATATTGAAGCTTCAAGGTTTATGACAAGTAATAACTTTGATTTACCTTCTACAACATATAATCAACTAGAAGCAGATCCTCGTAATTTTCGACATAAGTTTAAGCGACATAGTATATTTGAGGAAAATATCCCACAAAATTCTGGAAATATCAACTCTTTTTCTCCAAATAACCTTCCTTTGTCTGATAGTAAAAGTTTTCTTAGATGCTCAGGTATGTTTTGATTTCAAAAAAAAATTTAAATGGTTTATTATATTTTGTTTTAGTTTTTTTATTTTATTTTTGATGTTAGTTAATAAGAATAATATTAATTTTTTTTTACTTTGGTGTACAATTTTATAAAATATATTTTATGCACTTTACACACACATTCCATACTTAATACTCTAGCTGTTGTGAAGCGTAACAAATCTTTTACTGAAGGAGACAGGTCAACAACAAAGAAACAAAAAAACACTAAAGAAAATGTGGTAAATAGAATCCCAATGGCAAATGTTTTAGATGATGAGTTATCAGCTTTGTCACAAAGACCTACATTAATGTCACCAAGACCTAGTTTAAGTAGTAAACTGTCGCGAACAAAATCTTTCTCTACAATAGATATGGCTAAAAAAGAAGGGGTTTACAGCAGTAGTTCTACAGTTACTTATACCAATTTAAATAGTAATAGAATTTTTTAAATATATTTCAAAATAATGTTATTATGTTTTCAGAGTTATAGTTGTGTTTAAAAAGCTCATCTTAATTTTTTGTTTTATGTATTTTTTAAATGAATTTTTTGAGGAGTTTGTTACACAGTTTTGACTTTTTTTTGTTGTTGTTTAAGTTTTAATACTAGACTTTAAATTTTAGTTTTATGCCTACTTGTTACATTTTACTTTGATATTGCTTGTTTTATCTAAATTATTGCATATTTAACAGTCTCATCAGCAATTCCCTTGAGTAGTTTATCCAGAACAAAATCTTTTTCTTCATTGGATCCACCACAAAATGATGGTATACTTAGTGCACGTCTCACTACTCATACTCGAGCTGTCAAAGGTTTGTTATATGTTCTTACAAGAACTTATGTCGAGATTTTCAGCTTTTTTTATTATAATGTAAATATTCCAGAGATGGATATTTTAAGATAAAAATATAAGCGCATATCTATGCACTTATATTCTTATTTATTTTTTAATTTTATTTTAGTTACAGGGTAATTCCATTTAAAACTGGGACAGTCATTAATATGCAACCATAAAACATTTTCATTTGAAATTCAGCCTAATACGTTCCATTTTTGTCAAGTCCGCCATTATGAATTTTGTAGTTGTACTACTTAATAAATAGTTTAAGATAGTAGAATAATATGACTAAAAATGGGTACCTGGCTATTTTTGAGGGTGCTGAATTCAAAAATGTAGAGAAAATGGTGAAATTTAAATTTTTTTAATGGTTATTTTTTGATTTTAAAATGGTCAGTCAAATTTTTTGTTCTTTAACCAAGGGTTGCACTTTCATTAACTCCCAGAGTTGCCCAAGTCTTATGGATTCACTTTTTTTTTCAAATGAAGTAGGCGATCCTAGGCTATCTTTATAAAAAAAGATGGTTTTAGTTTCTTAAAGCATTATAAAGATATTTCATTTTGAAATTTAGACAAAAAAAATTTTTTTAAAGCCTCTATTCTCCATTTTAGAATTTATAGCGATACTTTTTGTGTGTAATTTCAGTTCTAGTGGAGAAATATGGTTGAAAATTGGCACCTGATCAATTTTAAAGGTATTAAATACAAAGATGAAATTAACCTAATTCTTAATATTTGAGAATAATTTTAAAATAACACCAGTCAAATTTTTTGTTTTGTAACCATGGTTTACATTTCACTTATTTCTGGAGTTGCTTTACTCTCATTGCGAAATAACAGGTCTTAGAAAAGTTTAGGTCTATGAAAGAAAATAAAAAAACTATATTGCTTTACATAACTTGCATATTTATAATCAGTATTTTCAAAAGTATACATAGAAATATAGTTTACTATACAACACATTAAAAATATAATTTTTGTATTAATTATAATAGTTTAACTTAACATTATTACTTAATGTCTAATAATTAGGTATTGTTTCAAAATATTAGTTGCATGCTTAAATATTAGATTGCATGCTCAAATGTTGTGTTAAAAAAATAAGAAAATAAAATGCAAACTTATTTGAAAAATAATAAAAAATCTGCTTTATTAAAAAAACCTCAAAAAGAAAAAGGAATAACCAAATATTACTAAAATTGAAGTTTATATCATTTAAATAAAGAAAGTAAAATATTCATCAACTTTCACTGACAGAGTAAAAGCTGTTCAAATAGAGTTTCATCTTCTTTTGAGATATGATACTGATGCCAAGAAGATGTTGACAGTATTTTAACAAGAGAAATGACATTCATTTTTGGGAAACCTAACAATTATCATCTCACTTTGGCCAGTAGTACGACCGACTTGGATAATGTGGATGCATAAACTTTACCATAAATTATCATTCTCTTTATTAATTTTAGAAACCATACCAAGCCAGTAAAAATCGCTGTATTTGCAAAATAGCTATTGTGACATCATAACATTGTCTGTTTTATTAATTTTATATTTTTGTTTATTGAAGTCAAATGTTAGAGCAAAATCATCATCATCAGATATCATTTTCATTTTTATAATTGAATGAGAAGAAAGTATAAATTGATGGAAACTTCTTTCTTTTTCTTGTAGTAGATGACAACTGGATGAAGAGTACATTGACTCTAGCTCCAATGGTAACTCTGTATCTCGTCTTGTACTACAAAAGTGTAATTCTCTGCAAAATCTGCTAGTACAATAGCCTCATCAATACTAATTGTTTCTTTAAGATGCCTTAAATAGCTAGATTGTGACTTTGCTATAAATGAATGAGAAGTAATTTTATCAAGTTTTTCACACAGGTGCTCTATGAATTCATTTAAGGGAAGTTTTATTGTTAATAGTTTGGTCCTATCTGTCGTTGTCCACTGTTTGAAATCCACTGACTGTTCATTTTTGTCACTGTTATATTGCTCTTTTGGATCATCATTTTGTGTGAGATGTTGCTTGAAATAACTTTGGGCAGCTTGTATGACAGGACAATTATTGCATCGGTGAATCATGCAAGTTTTTGATTTTCTGCTGCAGACAATCTTTTCAATGATTTCATGGTAAGATGTTGTCAAGGCCTACAGCACTCAACATAAATTTAACATTTTGGTGTATTGTACACACATAATTAGAATGTGTACCTTTTGGACCAGCAAGGATGCGCCATTTAGGCCAATTACTGCAAAATTTAGAAAATCCAATTTTATGGTCTGGGTATTTAATCTTATACTAGCTGGTATGACCCGTACGATACGGGTCGTGCCAAGTCTAATCCACACCCAACAATTACTAAACTTGTTCCTTAGTCTTTATATTTAATTTATTTAGTAAACGGCAAAAAATAAATCAATTTAAAGTTCTGGTTCGATTTAATTTTCTTAAGAGTTTGCATTTTACCATCTGGTAGGTGGTAAAGTTCGCATTTTACCACCTACCAGATGGTAAAATGCAAGCTCTTAAGAAAATTAAATCAAACTTTAATTGCTCGTTAAATTATAATTAATTTAAAAAAAAAGTCTAATTTAAATAAAATATATCGAATACCAGTATATTTAATTTAAAAAATCGATGAGGAAATATTTTTAATATTATGACTGTTGTGGTCATTGAAATGTTTTGGTTCGCTAAAAAGTACACATTTTGCATTTTACTGACTACCTACAGTTCTTGATTTCTAATTTACTGTTCTTTAGAACTAATTAGTATTTTTACTTATTACATTATTACTTATTTACTTTAATATTTTCTACATAAAAAAAGTATCTTTAGCATTTAACACAGTTGCGTGAAACTTAGGCTATGATAATATTTTAATTCTCTAATAAGGATTTATTTAAAAAGCAAATTTAGACATTAAAATTGGACCCAAGAGACCTAGTTATTTCAAATAACTTAGCTTTATCTGTTTGATATATTATATAAAAGCCTTCCCAGTAGACATGGACGTAAAAAAAGATGTTTAAAATGTCTTGTACACGTCATTTTTAGGTCTGGTACCCACTGGGTTTCTAAAAAAAACTCTTAAATTATTTATATAATTATAAAAAATTTATATAATTGTTGAAATATATTAACAATTTTACTGTTTTAATTGCGGAATTAGCTGTGGTGACCCGTACGATACGGATCACGGCAACTCTATTCCATATCCTATTTCCAAACTTGTTCTTAGTTAGGTCTCTATACCTTTACCAATTGACTTAATATACTTTAGAAACTGTACTTATTTACTTAATGTACTCCAATATTTTATACATAAAACATAATAGAGACAGTTGCGTATCAATTCTTCAGGTGTTTTTGAAAACTTAAGCTATAATCAAGATTTTACCTTCTCATCAAGATTTATTTAAAAAACAAATTCAGACATTAGAAAATGGGCCTAATGAGACTTGTTTTTTTTATACGTTTGATACATTTTAAGTTAGCTTAATCCGTTTGATACATTTTATTAAAACGTTGCTGTAAAAAACAAAACTAATTCATTCAATTAAGCTGTTTTTACATCCGAAGTTATTAAACATGTTTGTGCTAATCGATACTTAATGCAAATAGAAACTTCGAGTACAAAATATGATTTTTAGTATAAATGGTTTTTATTCATATATATAAAGAGCAACAAAAATAAAAAAAAACAATGCAAAAATGATCAATATATCCATTTGCAACAATAAATCTAAAAATAAAAAAATATAGATATTTACTTAAGAAACAAAACACATATTTTTCTTGAGATAAAATAAAAATATAAACTTTAAAAAAAATTACAAAAAAAAAGTTATATTTAACAAAAAATAACAAAAATACTTAAAAAACAATTTAAATTGAAACATTGTTTCATTATTATTAGGCTTTAGGTAAGCCATAATCAAGTCAGCCATAAGAAGAGAAGTTCGACCTAAAAATTAACAAAATATTTTAAACATAATACACATTAATTGCAAGTTAACGTGTCATGCAATCAGTTAATTTCTTTGAAAACTCAAAAATGCAAATAAGTGGATAAGTAACTTATTTTTTATTTTTCCATAACCCTAACAGATCAACATGAATATGAGCTAAGCCTATTAGCATAAAACATTACAACAATTAATTAAATAACAGAACATGTTAAATTAAACTCTAGATAGCCCACACCTTTAAAGGACAAAGAAATTAGTTTAGTTTAAAGAAAATTAGAGTTATTGGGATTATAATATATAAAAAAAAAGCTTAAGTGGAATTCCAAAATTAGTTTATATTTATGTTATAGAATTCCTCTTCTTTGGCCCGAACCCTCGTATTTTCTGTTAATGAAAATCGCTGAACATATTGCCAATGTTTAGAACATTTTATACAGGCTTTAACAATATCTGCTGGTTGCCTTCTTTTTACAACCGGAAGTATTTGCAGGCTTCAACATTTTTGTGCGCTTGATATTTTTTAGAAAGCCATGGGTTATAAGGTACAACCCAACGGTTATCAACTTGATTGCCTTTTATATTGATAATTCTTCCGCTATCGACACGTCTATAGCGTGGATAACCATTGAAAATTGCAACAGTGTGGGGATTAAATTCTTTAGGAAATTTTTTGGTGCATTTCCCATCTTTCATGCAGGGATAATTGGGATTTAAAATTCCACATGGTTCATGTATCATGCATGATTTTATAGTTTCACGAAGTTCAGGATCAACACCTGGGTCTGGATTTTCTGCTGATATCAAACTGTCAATATCTTCTACTGTTTCTAGCTCATCTGCATTTACTAAGTGCAATAAAATATGTACATGTGACAAACCATGCTTTTGAAACGCGCATGACTTACAACTTTGCGTAAGACTCCATGCTTGAAAATATCTGCTAAAAAAAATTTAAGTTTCATTTTAAATACCCGACAAACTAAATCAGGTCTGTCATTAGTAG